AAGTTTTATATACTTGGTAGCGGGGCCGTGGAGACGATTATAAACGAGGATGCGGTACTCGATGCTGTGATTGATAACGGCAGTGAGGCTGTCATCATAGACGAGGACCTTGCGGTACAACTTGGACTGGGCCTCGATAGGTCATACCTATTCGAGATAGAGACGACTGATGGGAGAAAGCAACAGATCACTGGGGTTTGTCACAAGGCAGCCATAGAGGTCCAAGGGGTGCGAGTAACCCTGCCTGTCTTTGCAATCAAGAACTGCAGCTCCGACCTCCTCTTGGGTCGAACGTGGCTAAGCCACGTGCATGCGGTGACGATAGAGCGATCTGATGGAAACCAAACATTGTCCATCAAGAAGCCAGACGGGACGCGGGTAATGATTGAGACAGTGGAGCCTCGGGACCCGAGGAACAGAGCAGCTCTCGCTGTGGGTGCAAGACCCAGTGATCAGATTAAGTCGTTACCCATCTCTGGCCGCGCGGTGCGATTTCGCGAGAAGAGATATGGACCACTGCTCACAGAGGAAGAAGGTCGGATGGTGGAGGTGGAAGACTTAGGGAGTCGGCTAATAGTGGACGGCAACTCTCGTACCCGAAGGAAAAAGATGAGGAATGTGGCGATGTGGTATCCGTGTCTTTTTTAAGAGCACGGCCCCCTATGGGGGGCTACCCAAGCGACACAAACGAGTAGCTCAAAAGGTTAAGCCAGTGGCGGTGGGCCGCGAGCGATCAGCACTGGAAGGGGTATAAGAAGAAGAGATCGCGAAAGAAATCAAAGAAAGAAAGAAAAGCGAGCCGCAACGCCTAACGGAAGAGAGGATAGCAGGGATGGACATCGGAGATGGAAATCTGACCCCACAGGAGCGAGGGCGTGTGATAGAAATTCTGAAGACATGTGATAAGGCAATAGCTTTCAGCGACGCGGAGCGCGGTAGGATCGACCCTCGATACGCTAAGCCAGCAAGGATTTACACGATACCACATGTTCCCTGGAACGACGGGGATGGAAATACGCCCAGAAGGAGAAGGAAGAAGTTATCGACTTCCTGAAAGAAAAGATGGTTTCCCACGTTGCGGAGCCATCTGATAGCGCTTATGCAAATCGATGGTTCTTCTTACGAAAGCCGAATGGTAAAATCCGATGGATTCAGGACCTTCAAAAGGTCAACGAGGTGACGATACGAGACGTGGGCTCCGTGCCACACACCGATTTATTGGCAGAAGGCGCAGCAAGTAGGTCGATCTATTCGGTTTGTAATTTGTTCTCAGGCTATGATGAGGTACCGCTTGACCCTAGGGACAGACACCTCACGGCTATGCATACGCCATTGGGACTGATTCAAATGATGGTTGTCCCTATGGGTTGGACTAATGGGGTAGTCGTTTTTCAGAGAGCCATGGTAGCCATCCTCAGGGACTTCATCCCTGATAAAGTTGAAGTTTTTCTGGATGACTTTCCTATAAAAGGGCCAGTAGAGAAGGATGAGACAGAGGTTATACCTGGGGTTAGAAGACTCGTCGAGCAGCACCTAACAGACATTTGTGCAGTACTCGAGAAGCTGGACGATGCGAATTTGACAGTCAGCGGAACAAAGAGCCGATGGGCCGTCTCGACTATTAAGATCTTAGGTTTTATCTGTGACTCGAGAGGATGCCGAGCAGATCCGGCGAAGTTGGACAAACTTCTGAACTGGCCTTCACCGTTACATAGCCCAACCGAGGTCCGGCAGTTTCTAGGGGTGGTCGGTTACTGGCGTATATTCATATGAGGGTATGCGGAGAAGGCTGAGCCATTGAGGTTACTCCTTCGAAAGACTGAAAAATTCTATTGGGATTCTTCGCAGGAACTCGCTATGCAAGAACTTAAAGACAAATTTAAGGAGGGAGGACGCGTGTTGGGCGTGCCGTTCTTTGACGATGAGACCGAGAGACCCTTCATAGTTTTCGCGGATGCTGGACCATGTTCAGTAGGTGGTTTGCTGTCTCAGAAGGACGCTGGAGGGAAGGAAAGACCGTTAACATTTGAGAGTATGACACTTAATACGGCTGAGCGTAACTACAGTCAATTCAAGAAGGAAGTGTTAGTTGTTCTCCGGTGTCTAGACACGTTCAGACACTATATCTATGGGCGACGGTTCATCTTGAGAGTAGACCCCACCCGGTTGCCTCTGTCCTCCAGAAGGACTTTAGTCAGACGGACCCGACCATCGCCCGATGGTTAATACGGATTCGGCTATACGATTACACGATTGAGAGAGTATCTGGTACTAAAAATGTTGTGGCAGATGGACTTTCACGCATCCCTCTCGAGCGCCCGATAGTGGCTGCGGCTCTGACAATGGCAGAGCCGAGACGCGCCGAGAGATTTCTAGTTAATCTTTACGAGGGCAAGTACCGAATGATCGGACTACACCTGACGGGAGAGGAGAGTCAAGATTCAGATATCCGGAGGCAAGCAGCCCAGTACTGCCTTAGAGCGGGCCACCTTTTCCGAAGGCCAGTAGGGTCGGGAATGCCCTTACGAGTAGTCTGTGATCCTGAGGAAAGACAGACAATAGTTGCGGAACTTCACGACGGGGTAGTCGGAGGACACAGGGGAGTTAAAGGAACCTATGAAAAGATACGCCGGCTGTACTGGCATGCGAAGAGTGCCAGAAGAGAGCTCTTGTGAAATACAAAGAGCCACTTCACCCATCCTATCCGACCAGACTAGGAGAGAAGGTACACATTGATCTAGTGAAAATGCCGAGAGGGGTAGGCAATATGAACTACGTCGTGAACATAYGAGACGATTTCACTGGGTTCGTGGATGATAGACCTATCAGGAGTAAGGCAGCAAAGGAAGTAAAGAACTTTGTCCTAGAATACTTATCTAGGTATGGTTGTGTCAGCAAGATAGTGATGGACAGAGGGGCGAAATTCCTAGCCGACGAGGTCCAGAGCGTGTTTAGGAGAGTCGGCGCGAGAGTTTCAATAGCCACCGCCTATCACCCACAGTCAAACTCCCCAGTAGAGAGGGGACACCAGACTCTGATAGCGTCACTGTCCAAGTGGTGCAAGGGTAAGGACAGTGATTGGCCACGATATTTTCGATACGCAATATGGGCGGACAACGTCACGGTCCGGGCTAGTACTGGACCGTACACCTTGTGGTTTGGGCGACGTTGTCCTCTTTCCATAGAGTTTCACGTCGACAGTTGGACAACCGTCAACTGGGCAGAGGAGATGTCCAGAGAGGAACTCTTAGCTGCTCGAACAAGACAGCCTACGGGTTGGAAGATAACCTTATGACAGCAGCCGATCGTCTGGCAGAGGAAAGGGACAAGGGTAAAGAGAGATGGGATAGGAACGTGCGGATCAGGAAGGAGAGGGTGAGTGTAGGAGACATGGTCCTTCTCTATGATGCAGCGCTGGAAAGAACCTGGACCGGAAAGCTTGCCAATAGTTGGATGGGACCTTACAAAGTGGTTGAGGCACTTGACTGGGGTGCATATATGATAGCGGAACTAGACGGATCTAAGTGGAAGGACCCAGTGGCGGGGGCTAGGTTAAAGTTGTTTAGGTCCAGGCCCGCGCCCGCTTTATCGCTAACGAGCCCGAAAGGGAAAGGGAAAGTCATGATGGAGGATGGAGCCCCCTTGAGGCGATTCGAGGCAGGGGAGAGTTCCAAGAAAAGGAAAAGAATAGAGAAGAGAAAGGTCAAAGGGTTAGCTTTAGGAAGAAAGAAGAGATGGTTATTCGTGCTCAAGCGAGCTAGACGAAGAGTTCGCGTTAGACGTACTGGCAGGTCAACACCCTTCTCGGGGCAAAGACAGAAGAAACAGAAGATCGTGCCGGGACGAAAAACCAGAAGAAACAGGAGAGTTAAGAAGCATCTTCTTAGCCCCAGGACTCGTAACAAACTTAAACATAAGACAATTGAGCGCCGACGTGGGAGTCCCTTACGGGCCATCACCCTGAAGCTCGTCCGCTTCGTCTGACGTAAGATGCTAGGGCTCGACGGGGGCGTCGAGAAGTGGTCCGGGCTAACTGTCAGGCGGCCGCAAGCAGTGCGCCGCCTGAAAGCTGCGGTTTTAGGACTTAGGCGCGAACACGAGTCTGAGTTTTGACAGTACTCTGGTTAGACCATGCGACGGAGATTAGGGGACCTCGGGGCCCCCTTGATTTTGGGCGCGCTGAAACTTACGGGTAACCCTCAAAAATGGCAAGATGGGTGGTCGCACTCGGCACTACAACGGACCGTTATTCCCGACCATTCGGAGGGTTAGAACCGAATTGTCCTCCCGCGAGGGGGCATCGTGGGGACTAACCCCGCTGCGACGTTCTTTGCAGCGTATGATCGGGGTCAAAATAGCGCCTCAAATTTTGTCATTTTTGTATCTAAATTAAAGATGGGAGAAAAAATTGAAATCAGTAGGAGGGAAGAAAAAAAAACGTAATATTCCTTAATTTGCTTGTTTTTCGCAGCATTTAAGTTTTGGGGGAAATACTCCGTTATTTTTATGTTTTCCGCCAATGGAATTGAAAATAAAGAAAAAGATTAAAAACGATAAGGAACAAAGAATTTCAACAATTTAATTAAGACTTTCTCGGAATTTATTTTTGGTAGGTTTACAATTATTTTACTATTTCGGGTAATAGAGCTAAGAGAAAGGGGGGGGATGATTTCAAATGATGGAACGAACAAGAACCGATGATTATTCGACGGTTGGCTTGATTTTCCTTGGATTTCCCACCGTCGGCTCTGAACTCTGATTAATCAATCTTCCTTGGATCCCAACCCTTTTTCGCCAATCCCTGATGATCAAGGTTTTCGTGCCACTTTCCCGATCCACCTGATTACTAACTTCACCGTGACAGTCCGAGGACAATCGCATGGATAGCATGGGGTAGTGCTACCTTGGGTCGACTATAGTGTTTGGTTCGGTACGGATACGAGGGTTGTTACGGGGTGGCTACGTCCTACGGTGTCTGACGTGCTTTAGGTACGGTATCTGTCTCTTATACACATCTAGATGTGTATAAGAGACAGTTTGGTTCGGTACGGATACGAGGGTTGTTACGGGGTGGCTACGTCCTACGGTGTCTGACGTGCTTYAGGTACGGTATGGGCCCGGTGACAGCTGTTTCACTACGGTGACTTATTTYCAGGCTTGGGACAACTGTGGTGATTTATTCTCGGGACCAGGGCTACTATGACAGTTATTCCAGGTTTGGAACCTTGGCGGAAATTTGTTTACAGGTCCGGAAACGTTGCGGCATTCTTTATCAGGTTCGGGACAGGTACGGATTTATCATGGCATGGTTGTACGGGTTCGGCATCCGCGTGGCACAGCAGCCCGGTACTGGAYTTYGGGTTTGGTMAGGTTCGGTGGCATGGCGGAGTTTCGTTTCAGGTTCGACGCCCTCACGGYGATTTATTTCAGGTTCGAGACCTCTGCGGTGATTTATTCTCAGGTCTCCGGCCACTGCAGCGGTATATTTTTCAGATTCAAAACCGGTGCGGCGGCCTATTTTCTGGTCCGAGGCCTCTACGATATATTAATCCAGGCTGGGAACCGCTGAGACAATTTATWTCAGGTTCRGTTTGGRGTCGGCAACGACACGGTGCAAGCCATGGCAATCTGAGCGACTATAGGAGGATCGTCGTGAGTATTTTCTAGGCTCGGTACAGTCCGAACTGGCTCGGGGCTGGTATGGAG